AGGCTTAAGTACAGGCCATGTGCCATGTGGACTTTCTGTTTTTCTTATGCCACTGTGCTGGCGATAGCCGTAGCTGGAGGCATTATGTTTTCGGGTTGTCCATACATACGGCCATAAGTCCAATGAACATGAACACAATATCTCAAGAGCACCTCAAGGGATGTTTTTTTTTCAAATTTGGTATAGACATTCCCTTGGACGTGATTCATTTTTGGTGGTCATAGGTCAAAGGTCAAGGTCACTGTGACCTTGCGTCTGTCTCATCCTTTTATATGCAATATCTCACAAATGTCTTGAGGACATTTCTTCAAATTTGGCAAAAATGTCCATTTGGATTCAACAATGAACTGATCAGATTTTGGTGGTCAAAGGTTAAGGTCACTATGACCTTGTCTTTCCCATTCTCATGAATGCAATATCTCAGGAATGCCTTGAACTCAAGAACACCTTGAGGGAATTTTTTTCAAATTTGTTACAAACGTTCACATGGACTCAGAGATGAACTGATTAGAGTTTGGTGGTCAAAAGTCAAAAGTCAAGGTCACTGTGACTTTGTCTGTGTCTGTGTCACTCTTGTGATCTCAAGAACAGCTTAGGGGAATTTCTTAAAATTTGACACAAATGTCCACTTGGACTGAAGTATAAACTGATTAGAATTTGGTGGTCAAAGGTCAAGGTCAGTGTAGTCTGAGTGGGTGGAAGTTCGCTGCAAAGATCAGCCTCTCATTGGGCGGAACGAGCCACCCGCTGAAGTCCCCTGCAGTTTTCAACACGTCCTTTACTAACTTTTTCAGTGTTTGATCTTGCGGGGATGTAGCCATTTTTCTGCCATGGTTCGCGTCCTGTAGGCAATATTTTTGTGGGCGTGTTACACCAAAACCTGTTTCCCCCCAGCAATATTTTTGCAAGCGCACCGTTGCTGTGGCACCGCCAAGAACGATTGTGATTGGTTGAAAGAAATACAAGCAGCCGGGCGTTTTTTTCTCCAATCTTAAAGTGAGAGTCGGCCCAGCCAGACCTTTCTTTTCTTGAGAAAGGTCTGGTGAGTGAGACTAAGGTCAGTGTGACCCCACAAAAAATGTTTTTGGCCATAACTCAAGAATTCTTATGTTAAATATGACAAAAGATTACACAAATGTCTAATAGGATAAAATATTGAAGTGATGACATTTTATTTCCAAAAGGTCAAAGGTTAACTGACCTGTGACATCATAATGTTCTGCATACAACACTTTTTTGCCCATAACTCAACATCATATGTCAGGAAGAGAAGAGGGAAACATTTGGTCAGATACTGAATTGGTGACACTAGTCTTGAAACTGTACTGATTGTATTGATCCTCTGTGTTGCCGGGGGGAAGATGTGTATGAAGCATCCATGTTTTCACAGACATGGATGTAAACTGTAAGAGAAACTTGACTGGTGCATGGAGGCCTACAACTGATAATTCTAGTTTCACCCCTGCCCTCATATGCCTGAGCCTTTCACTGCATGTATATGGAGATCCCTCCAGAAAATTGACGCAAATAAAATGAAAGTCTGCAATATTTGCAGGGGGCTTGCAATTTTTCAAAAGTCCCGTGATTTTTTCCTCATTTTTCCACATTTTCCGGCTGACCGGAAGTCATCACGCATGCAACGTCATTTTAAACGTCATCAGACACGTCATCAAATTGCACTAATGGCATTGCAGTATGGAGAAACGCTCTGTATTGACATAAGAATTTGCACTGTTTAAATGCATACGATATGTGTTGAATTTATTAAAATGTTATGTTTACAGAAGATCTAGCTTACATGTTGTTTTACAGTCACATTGCCTGGTTTGAGAGCTACAATATTCACTCAGGATTTTTTGCAACATTATTGGAGTCCATGTTTTGAAACTAATTAAATAAAGTTAAAGAAGAGAACTATAAATAACATTTGCAGCTATTTTTGTAATATTTAGTATGATTATTATTGCAAGTGATTACATGACTTATTTTTTTGGAGGAAGTAGTTTTAAAAAAAAACATTTTTTTTTTCTCCTTTTGTCATTTGCCGCAATTTTTGTCATTTGCCACAATTTCCCGCAAAAAATCCACATAAAAATGCTGCAATTTTTACTGCAATTTTGGACAAAATTGGCCACAAATTCAAGGGTTTTAGGATGCAAATTAAAGTTTTTTTTTGCTGTGAGATCCTGGAGGGACTGATATAGTTATATACATGCAGTTGCATCATGTATCTCTGAGAGGCTTCAAGTCTCTGCCAGTTGACTTTTGTGGTGTATTGGGATGAATAGTAAGCTGTAATACAAACTTGAAAACTTATGCGTAGATTGTGGACTAACAGATGAGTACTGTCCTTGGAGGTGATCGTGGCAATATTGCAGAAAGCTCCAGTAGCTGTGAATTTGAGTGATGCAATGCAGTTCTCTGCAGCAGTCAAACAGCAGCTGACTGCAGGTCAGCCAGAAACATCAGAGCAGGACTAAATGTACGTGTGTGAGGTAGGCATCAGTGCTGCAGTGTCACTGCTCATTTTATACATCATCAGTGCTGCAGTCTGTGAGTATTACACAGCTAAGATAAAACAAAACAGAATATCTGCCGAAGCATCCATGGATAAGACAGTGAGTCCCCACCATCCTCCAGTTGTTGTGCTACAGTCTCTAAATCTGACCTTTGACCCCATGTTGGAAGGAGTAACACAGTTTAAATGCAGTAAAAATAAGCACCACACAGTGTTTTTCCACAGGAGGAGCAGAGAACCAGGAGCTTTAAACAAACTGTATGTGAGCCAGGATTTAGCTTTAGTCAAAGCACCAGGAGAAAAAAATGCTGAATCATTCTGCCACCTTACAGTCCTGGTCTGTTTCCAACTGCAGCTCACTCAGCATCCAAAAACAAACAGGGGACATGTCCTTCCTAAACGCCCAACATAAACATTATTATGCACTAAGGAAACCGTATCCTCATGATTATGGCTGCATAATCATTGCTGATAATGATTTATTGAGCAATTCTGTTGAATGCCAATTTGTCTTTCGTCCTTTACAGAAAATTAAAAAATAAAAAGATCTGCACAAGCCACTAGAATACATAATTATGTACCAGTTTTTAGAGCACAGTCTCATACAAAAGCAATTCAAACTCCTTCATAGAGTGACAAATTACAAACAGCATACATACATACATAAGATTAGATCCAGTATGCCATGGCATACAACAACTGCCAGTAGAGCAAAAGTCACAGTTAAAGGGTCCCTGCAGGGTTTTCTTGTTAACAAACATACGGTAATTTATGTTTACATTCAATGTTAAAGGTCTCATGTTATGCTCATTTAGGCTCATGCTTGTATTTTGGGTTTCTATTAGAACACGGTTACATGTTTTAATGTTTTGAAAAACAAAAATGTTTTGTTTTAAAGCATGTTATTTGTCACATACTGTCTGCCTGAATATATCTGTGTGCAGGCTCTGTCTGAAATGCTCCATTTATAGCACCTGTCTTCTTAAGCCCCCCTTCTGAAAAAGCTTAGTCTGTTCTGATTGGTTAGTCACTATGTTTACATGACATTAGAGAAAATGGATTTATTGTGTTAGTCTGACAAAAAACAGACTTTTGAAATACATGTCAACAGAGTCCCACTGAAATCATACTAAATCAAATTTCTTAAAGTTAGACTAACACACTTAGAAAATGCGATTGGGAGTTGAATTCCTCCTGCATGTATACAGTCAATCAGAACCAAACTGGCCTAGGCGCTCTGCCCATGCTCCACAGTTTTCACCCCGGGTTTTAACCCAGAAATGAAATAGCATTAAATGCGTAACAGAAGAAGAGGGGGGAAAAAAAGAAAAAGTAAAGCGTACAGCACGTACAAAATGTACAGAGCTGTAAAGTTGACCACCATGGTACCAGTTTGCCACTAGCTAACTTGTTTTTTGATTGTTCGGTCTGTGACATAAAAGGTCAACCGGAAAAAGGTCCAATACTAACAAGCTGAAAGGGGGCATATCGACACCTATCGTAGCAGAGTCGGACATACTTCGTCAATAAAATGATTCCCTTCCCATGCTTGTATACTGAGACAAGGACAGTAGTTTGATTAAATGGCCTAATGGAGCTATAACCGTAGCTCCACTCAACTGTGCATGTACACACACTGAGTGTTTCTGTGTCTTCCACATTTGTGCTCTTGGCATCTCTGCATCATCACTGCAGCCAGAGAATGACTGTAGCAACACTCTATTGGCAGTTTCTACTTTTACACAGTATAGTTGTGACCAGAGTTGCAACGCTATGAGATTGTCACGGTATGATAATTGTCTCAGAAAATGTTGCAGTATCATGGTAAAGTATAGCACCATGATAGCATGATAAGGTGCTATACTTTGCATGATAGCAAAGTATAGCACCTAACCACGTTATTCCTTACAGCGCTATTGTAGAAATGATTATAGGTGCAACTTCTGCTGAGATAGTGGAAGCAGCAGTAAGCCACTTAGTCGCATTGACTGTCTATGATCAGCCAGTGGTTAATCATGGTAGCAAACTGCCAACGGCTAGGGATGCATGATAATATTGGCACATCATCTATATATAATCTATATATCTAAGTGATATTAGCTTTAAAATGAACTATTAGAATTGGCCAACATGGTTTTTCGGATTGTGCACAATGAATGAATATCACATACATTGAAAAGTATTGTATTTCATGTCTCCATCTGCTCTATCGTCTATCATGATAAGAGTATGAATGCATAATATGAGGTTCATTCCACTACAGAGGACACTTGATGATCACTAAAATTAGGTGGGGAAAAGAGTGGACATAGATATTGGTATCGGTTAGCGGTCAAATGAGTTGTTACATGTCAGCATATTGGATATCAGCAAAAAATCCAATATCATGCATCCCTACCAACAATTCCATTACTGGAATTACATTACATTTTTTTTTTTTTTTAACTTTTTATTTATTTTTTTTTTCCTGTATCTTTTCCAGTCGGACAGTAACACCAGTTTCCTGCGAGCAGCAAGAGCAGGGAACATTGAAAAGGTTTTGGAGTATCTGAAAGGGGGAGTGGACATCAGCACCTGCAATCAGGTAGGAAACAGATCACATAACATCATTCACAACCCCCACACTCACACACTACAAATGGTGGCACAATATGGAGTTATTTTTTTCTTTTTTGATACATGGTACATTTTGATGGAAGTGTGAGAATGCATTGTAAGACAACATAAAACACAATAACACCTGCTGGGAGGCTCCCCTACAAACCTGTCTTAGGACGTATGATATAAAGTCATACAAATTACTGTTAAGACTGTTATTTGGCTATTCAATTCACAAAGTTTGTCCACAAAACAGTTAAAATTCAGTCATAAGACATGGGACACTCTGATAAGCTATCTGAGGCTTGAGAGCAGGGGCCCAGACACAACATAAGAATTTTAAATATTTGACGATGACTTCATTTCATTTCTGAGTTCTAACATGCATGCTTCTTCAATGGCTTTACTTATTGAGCTACAAAAATGGAGCTGTTGTTAATGTTATTGGTTACAACCATGCTTTTCCTACTATGACAAGTCAAAGTGTAATGAAGTGAAAATTGAGTGTATAAATATTTTCAGATATACATTTATGTTGGAAATACAAAATGTGAAAAAAGATGTCAGGCGCACACTCTAAGACTCGATGCAAAAATATTTTCTTTTATTCAAGTACCAACGTTTCGACTAGACCGTCTTTATCAGGGTTTTACAAGACACTGAGCTACCAAACATTTTATAGAACACACAGGTGAGCTCTATGATGAGAGGGAGTGTCTTCAATTACAGGCACATGCCATGGGAGGAGCCGACAATCAACACAAATTGCCACACAGATGAGACAGGAAAAAAGCACAATAAGATCAAGGCTCAATTTCCATTCAAGTAAAATTTTAAAGACTAAAAAAGACAGAATATAGACAATTCAAAAGTACAATTCAAAAACAGTTACATTCTTTTCAGTTATCAAAAAGTAGTAGACAATAAAAAGTATCATTATTTTAAATACAACTAAATCAGGAAGAGAAAAATGCATTTAAACACCACTTAAAGTGGAAAAGAACAGAATACCCCTGTTTTCAAAACAATTATTAGGACTTTGAAAAAAGGCATCTAGATATATGAAACACAATTGTTAATGATTTAGTAGAAAAATGTTAAATTTTGAATACAATTTTAGAAAAAGAATTTTTAGGAAAAAAAATGAATTTAGAAAAAATCTACTTAGAATAGTAATGGTAGATAATTGAAATAGAAAAAAGTTAAATTTTAGGAATTTTGGAAAAATGTTTAAGAAGGATTAAGGATTAGAAAATGCATCACAATGCCTACAAGACATAGGACAATCTAGAGGCCGTTTACACGTCGCCGGCTATTTTCATAAACGGACATTTCACCATCTCCGTTTTCAAAAAGATCTTCGTTTACACTTACCCGTGTATATATACACAAGAGCATGCCAAACCTGTAGGTGGCAGTGTAACGAGAGGCTCAAGCCTTCCATGTATCCATTGTCACCATAGCAACATAGGTCGCACTTTTGACACAGGCGCAAGTTCCGGCGCGTACTGTGACGTCGGCTGCCTATAACTCCGTTTATCTCCGTTTATCTCAGTTTACATGCAAACGCGCAACCGGAGTTTTCCAAAATCTCCACTCTGGCCAGAGTTTTTAGAAAGACTCGTTTTCAGAGGAGAAATCTCCGTTTGCGTGTAAACGAAGGGCACAAACGAAGGAAGATGTCTCCGTTTATCAAAATCACCGTGTACGTGTAAACGGCCTCCTAGAGTCAAAGAAAAAGTTTAAGGTCAAACTCAACATTAAGGCAACTGGGAGCAAGTATTTAAAGTATTTAAAGTATAGATCCAGAAAGCTTCTCTTTTCAACAAAAGAAGATCGAAATCACCCCCTCTTCTAGGAAAATATACTTTTTCAATCCCTATATAACGCAGAGCAGATATAGGATGTCCAGCCTCAATAAAGTGTGCTGCAACAGGATAGGTCATGTTTTTACTTATCTTATGGAGCTATGGTGTTCAGCTATACATGTCTTAAGGGCATGCTTGGTTTTACCCACATAATATTGGCCACAAGGACAAAAAACAATATAAATAACACCTTTAGTGGCGCAGGAAATAACACCTTTAATAGGGATCTTCTGACCTGAATGAGGGTGTTTGAAATCTCTACATTTATAAGTACTGTTGCACTGTGCACAGGCACCACATCTATAGTTACCATCTGCGACAGGAGCAAGAGTGCGTTGTGGCAAAATTTCTAGAGGAGGTAAGTCTGAATGGACTAATGCATCTCTCAGGTTTCTACCTCTTGAAAAGACAACTCTAGGGGGATCATTAAAGACATTTGTTAGAAGAGGATCAGACTTTAAAATGTGCCAGTATTTATGCAAGATCGGTTTGATCCTTTCAGCACAACGGGAATACTTTGTGATAAATAGAGGAACTTCTTTTTTGTTTTTATTTCTAGCACCTTCAAACAGGTCAGCTCTGGAAGTTTTATTTATTTTCTCAACAGCAGAGTCCAATTGTAATTGGAAATACAAAATGTGCCATGGATAATAAGCGACAGCATTGTTATACTTTTTTCCAACAGCCAAGTGCACAGGTTCAGAAAAAAGTGATTTTTAGCAATGAGTGATTTTTTGCCATTTATCACCTCTGAAGTTGTTATTTCTAACATGTTAGCAAAACCTAACACTAACATAATGAGCTGAAAGAAGCTAAGATGCTCAGCAGGATGATACTTCTCTGTGGGTTTCATCACTACTAGGGACATTGTTTACATTACACACAGTCATATATTTTTGCCTGTTAAGTGAGCCCAATGGTGCTGTCTCTTGAGCAAACAATCCACAGAATGTATAATTCTAAGTGCTAATGTGCTCATGTTGTCCACCACTAATGAAAATGTCTGTTCAATGTAGTGGGGGAGAGGACTGTGTTTGATCATGGAGAGTTTCTTTATTTAGGCCTAGTCATTATCTAGTCTCCTCTAAGCCCATTAGCATTCCAGCCATGGATGAGTGGGGCAGTGAAACCTGATAGGATGTCAACAGCCCTGTCCTGGCAACAGCCATTATGGCCAGCCCTGTAAACAAAAGTCACATGGAGTGGAAATTTAATATTTGTTGGTGGCTCTGTGGTGTGTGAAGACTTTTTGTTGTCAACTCATGTGGTTGGAAAGATGTTGGCACCACCATCACTTGTGCCCTTGATGATATTTTGAGCTCCTGTGTTTGTATGTTTCTCTCCAGCTCTCCAGTTTCTGTCTTACTGCATCTCAGCTGAGTGGTGCATTAACAGGTTTCAGAATTAATCACAGTAGATATCATATATCAAATCAGCATGCCAAAAGAAAACTGACTCCTTTTAGTTACTTACTGAGCTAGGTGCTGTGGCTGGGGTCATTATGTTTTTGGATTGTCCATCCGTCCATGCTTTTTCTGTGAATGCAATATCTCAGGAATGCCTTGAGGAAATATCTTCAAATTCGGCACAAACGTCCACTTGGACTAATCGATGAACTGATTAGATTTTAGTAGTCAAAGGTCAGGGTCACTGTCACCTCATTTGTCTAATTTTTATGAACACTATATCTCAAGAACACTTTGAGGGAATTATTTCATATTTTTGGTACAAATATCCACCTGGATTCAAGGATGGCCTAATTAAAACGTGATGGTCAAATGTCAGGGCCACTATTGCCTCACAAAACATGTTTTTGGCCATAACTTAAGAATTCTTACACTTATTATGACAGAATTTTTCACAAATGTCTAATAGGATAAAATCACACATTGAAGAGATTTTTAATCCAAAAGGTCAAAGGTCAGCTTCACTGTGACATCATAATGTTTTGCAAGAACACTTTCCTGGCCATTATTCAACATAATATTTCAGAGAGAGAATGGGAGACCTTTGGTCAGATGTTGAATTGGTGACACTTATCTTGCCTGTCCACCTTGAAACTGTGCTAATTGTATATATCTTCTGAGCTGCATGGTTTAGAGTAAAGACCTTTTCTGTAGCAACATCTTTGTTCGAAACATTGTCACCTGTCATGGCTTTGGGTCTAGACAGACTAAAGAAACTGTAACTGCAACTTGACTGGTTTGTGAAAGAATACAACCATGAGGCGGTAAATGTAGTTCCATCTATGGTATTGAGTAGGGTTAACCTTCGACAATTTTTTCAACCTTTTATGCATGTTGATCCAGAAGTTTGATTTTACTACTCTTCAGTTTACTGCACTGTGCACCAACCGGGCTGGGTGGGAGCCACCAGAGGCAATTGATAAACTGTTACAGAGCATCTTTGGCACCACTCATTCTGCAATGACTGTTAGTAACATTGTCCCAACTGAAGAGCAGAAACATTGTGCTAACTTAACGCAGTTGGCCGTAAGTAAACTATTACTCAGCATTAATAGAAGAAAACAAGAACAACCCCAGGTTTCTTTTCAGCACTGTAGCCAGGCTGACTGAGAGTCAAAGCTCTATTGAGCCTTGTATTCCTTTAGCCCTCAGCAGTAATGATTTTATGAGCTTTTTTAATTACAAAATTCTAACTATTAGAGGCAAAATTCATGACCTCCTGTCCTCAGATAGTACCTATCTAACCTCAAACACAGCTGTAAGGCCTAATATATATTAAGATTGCTTCTCCCCAATTTCTCTTCAAGAATTGACAGCAGTGATTTCTTCATCTAAATCATCAACGTGTCTCTTAGACCCCATCCCAACTAGGCTACTTAAGGAGGTCTTTCCTTTAAACACTCATATATTAGATATGATCAATATATCCTTATTAACAGGCTATGTACCACAGTCTTTTAAGGTAGCTGTAATTAAACCTCTACTAAAAAAGCCCACCCTGGATCCAGAGGTGTTAGCCAACTATAGACCAATATCTAATCTTCACTTTATGTCAAAGATCCTTGAGAAAGTAGTCGCAGACCAGCTGTGTGATTTTCTCCAGGATAATAATTTATTTGAGGAATTTCAGTCAGGATTTAGAGTGCATCATA